CACACACACACACACACAAGGACTAGGGCAACAAGCCAACAGTGATATGATGGAGGTTTCATCCTGCCCACAGCATCACAACAGCTGTCTGTAAACAGGTTTCCTTTTTTTTATGATTATGATTTCTGTTTTACTGCCATAACAAAGCTGATGTTTATCTGTTTTTTATGAGCCGCTGACACTACAATGACTCCCTCAACTTGGTGCCATTGGAGAGTTGTGGTGTTCTGCAGTTGGTGTAAAGGCTGCCTTTAAAAGCTGAAATAAGAATCAATTAATTAAAGCATTTATTAATTCATTAAAACTGTGTTCTGGTGCACAGTTGCTCAAATTTAAAGGTACTGCATATCAGCACGAAATATGGCCACTGCTATCCTTCACCACATAAAAATAATAACGTCACGCCTAGTCACGAACTGATCAATATGTGACAGGCGCTCGCCATAACCCGCAGCCCACAGGGGGGTAAACGTTGCCATGGCAATGCAGCAAACACACAGAGACCGCCACAAACATTCAGGCTCCCCATCTGAATGGCTGAGGGGAGAGCAGCTCACGCCAGCACATGGACACACACACGAGCGTCAGTCACCGCAGCCGTGACCCAGCGTCGCTCTGTCCCCCTATGAAAGGCAGATTGTGAGGGCTATTTCTGGAGGGCCTGAAAGGCTGCAGCCCTGCTCTGGGGCCATGGAGGAAGTGGCTGCCCACAGGCAGGCACTGCTGGCAGCATCACACACACCCTCTTCTCCTCCTCCCATCGCTTCATCTTGATTTCAGTCTGAGAGGTTTCTATTTCCCCTCTGAGCTGTGTGCAGCCTCAGATGGGCCGTCACACTCTCGGGCACTGAACGCACCTGTGACATGAATTACTCACAGCTTTGTCACAGTAACGGAAATCCCTACTATCAGTCTGGATCAGTTTATGGGTGTTCAATAGTTCTGCCAAATGTCTCCTGCCTCAGGACACCTCAGGGGTTTAAGGTGCCAACCATGAATCACACCATGGTTTGTTGTTGCATTTATAGCGCATGTCACTTCCCGTCACCCCTTCCTTTCCAGTCATCTCTCTGCTGTCATCAACATGACATCAAAAATACCAAAAGACTCTTCTGTGAAAGTATGTATGTATTGTAGAAGAGGGTGCTATAGATAAAATCTTCTATCATTCTAAAAATAACACATACAGTGCTACTCACCCATTTACAAAAGCCTCAGAAACCCAGAGAGCTACCACAGTATAAACTGTGGAGCAAAGTCTCCTCATGGTTGATGAATTTGATCTCACATTGAAAGTGACAACATGTCTAGTAGCTGGACGTGAACAGGTACAAACTGAGATGTGGCTCTGTCATGGCTAGGGCTGGTTCTCGTTCGAAATCTTTCAATCCCATTTTCAGTACCAATACCAAAACAATACTTTTCTTCTTTGTCTTCCTTTGCGGAATATGTTTTACTACAAGCAGTCTCACAAGAACTTTCCCTCGATAAAACAGGTAAAATTATTTATATTTAAATCAGAAACTCTCTGATCAAAGAAAACCTAAAATGAGTATGAATCTGAACATACAATGAAAGCTTTGAGTTTCCAGTACTTTACTGAGGTTCAAAATCCAGCCCTACAGCTGAACAATATGAATCACTGTCGGCCCGTCTGGTGTCACTTCATTAATTCAAATCTCAGTCAATGTGACGGCAAAAAAACTAGTGAAGAAACTGGTGTCAGAAGTGAAATATGAAACTATTTTCTTTCAGAGCTGACCACCACCGACAACACAATCACAGAAGTGTCCCAGTATCATAGCACCCTTAAATCTTACACACTGTTCTACAATCACGACAACACTGTATATCAGTTACAGAGACAACCTGAGATCTGTAAACACAGCAGGCCACAAGCTCAGTCCGCCCTGTGTGCACCTCTCTGTGTCCTCGCTGGCCTCTAATGTTGTGAATGATCCTAGTTTGACTGCAAGCTGTAGGAGTGTGTGTATGTGTGTGTAGAAGAGGCTGGGCTTCGGCGGAGGATCTGTGTGCCAGAGTTGTTGCTCCAGCCTGAAAACAACCATCCTGCGTTCTGTTTAGAGCCGACGCAGCAATGACCAACACCCTCACACTGCACCGCCAGAGGCACACAGATGGAGCTACAATAGAGCCTGTATGTAAGCGTCTGTGCGTGTGTGTGTGTGTGTGTGAATGCTTCACGGTCTTGAATGAGACCGCCTCACACAGCCGCACACACAAACACATGCCCCCTTTCTTGGTTTTCAGACACGCACAGGGAGACAATCTGGATTCTCGCTCTAAACATAAGACTCCCTCGGGTCCTCTCCCTGGTTTCCTGTTTGGGCCTCGGACTGCGTATCAATTTAGCCGCTGGGTCCTCGGCGCAGTGGAGGAACCGCTGTCAAAACACAGTGACATGCTGTGGGGTTTCTCAAGAGACCCTTGCTAGGAGGACCACACCCCGGCAACTATGGACTCTTCCCAACCCACAGGCAGCCATCTTGGCTCCATGTTAAGATCCACTGACAGTATAACTTAGCATCTAGGTTGAGCACAATGTGAGCAACCTGACACCTTAGAGACGAACTGAGAGGAAGATTCAACGCTCTGCCCTCAGGTCAGTGTCTGTTAAACCAGAAGTTACGAAAGTGAACAAGGAACAAGAGCTCCATCTTAAATCAGAGAAAAGTGGGCAGCAGCAGCAGGTTCTGTTTGTAAACACCCACGATGCTTCTGCTCGCGACGCCGGTGCTCTGAGAGGCAGATGAGCACGATGATGTCAGCCCTGAAAACCTGTCAGTGCCCACGCTTGCAAAACATTCCACTGAGTGACAACCAGCAGCCACTCACACACACACACACACACACACACACACACGTAGACAGGATGCATGAAATATTTAGACACAGAGGAAACTCTACTGTGCTTCAGAATTCCTGGTATTCTTATGATCGAGGACCGTTCATTCTTGAATAGCAGCCAAGTGTTTTCTTTACAGTCACTAAGCGAGAGTGGCGCCAACGCTGGGAAAATGAAAATACAACCTAAAATATCAGAAAAATGCACCAACATTTGGAACTTCAAAGGTCCGACTATAAATCCCCCCCGCCCCCAGATCTAATACTGACACTGTAGTTTAAGAGGAACACCCACATATACAATATTAAAAACGCTCTCCATCTCCTTCTGGAGCTTGGTAACCAGCCAAAACTAGAGGAGCACAAGACGGCATTAAAAGCAAGCAGCAGCGTATTGATCTAACTGCAGAGGATGTACTTGGGTTGAGTTAATGGTGGCATCAAGTGATGAAGATAACGATGGGAATAACCTCACCGCAGCCACTGGAGATGTTTAGCACAACAATATGCCTCCACCTAGAAACTTCAGCATTGAGTAAAGTTCCTGTAAACGGTGAGGCAGCAGTAGTGGGGCAACACCGACAGTCATCATCACCCTTAAGTGTTTGGTTTTACGAGGCATGGGAGCCTTGATCCATTAAAGCCATTGTGGCTTTAATGTCTGGCTCCCAGATGCTTTTTACAGGCTTGCTCTGCTCTGCTCTGCATTCAGGCAGGAAGGAGAGTTTCTGCAGCGTTTGCAGTGTCCACGTTACAACATCCTGTATTCAAAACAAGATGCAATAGGTGCGTTCATGCAATCAGAAAAGTGATGCAGGTTGCTGCAGGAATAAAAGCCAGCTCGCAGAGGGCTCGTAATGTTACAATTTGCCTCTTCTGAATAAATCATGGGCAAAAACCCACTCTAAATAAAAGACTGTACCACGTTACAAGCTGCATGCTTCCATCGGATAGGCGGGTTGAATATTTCATGATTAAACGGGCCATTATACTACACAGATCTAGGCCAAGGCCAAGGCTCAGGCTGAAGGGAGGAAGGGGGGAAGGGGGGGGGCTCAGATAACGGTCCAAACCCCGTCCCAACAACACAAGGGAACAGAGCTCCGGTCCGAGGGGGCTCAGGGAGGGGCAAAGCCATCTGGGTTAATCCACACAAAACACAGACAAAGAAAACAATCAGCAACTCCGCCGAGGAGAAGCATCGATTTCCAGATTTAAAAATCACGCTTAAAATAAAGTCCAAGCGGAAATCAGCAGGGCTTTCGTGGTCCGACTGTCCCAAGCTGCTCTGGACCCTGCAGCCAAAACACTGAACCTCGCTGCCCGGCAGACTCTGTGGCAGGTTCTGCTTTGAAAGTGTCCCGTTTAAATGGCGACAGTTACATTAGTAAATGAGAGACAAGTGGTGAAGATGCAGCTGAAACTGTGAAACGGGTGACTAAATCCGTCTTAGGTCACAGCCGACCCAAGCAGCCAGCCCCCCTCAGAGCTAGCCCCGGCTAACGTTAGCTCTTAGCAAATAAAGTTAGCCCAAGTTTGCTGTCAACAGAGTGCGACAGTTTGTTTTGCTAAAGCTAAATCGTGTCTGGAAGTGAAGCATTGCAATGGAGCTGTGCATTCAACGTGTCCCCCCGTCAGAAATGCGGGACACCAGCTGACAGGCTAGCATTTAAGCGCACTAATCCCGTGAGGCCTGCGCGTCCCCGGCCCAAAGTTGACGGCTAAGTGCCAGCCGACAGCGCCTGGCTTCGGTCAGTTGTGAGTGGCGGCCCGGCCCGTCCCCGCCTCCCTCCAGCTAATGATACGCCGTTAAAGCTAGCAGGGTAGGCTAATTCAAGCACCCACCTCGCTTGTCGAGGTCGTAACTGACCACTAAAAAGTAGTCGGCGAGCCTGGCCATCTTTGGAGCTCACGGCGACAGGCCTTTCTCGCTAAATCCTCTTCTCTTTTTGACGTCAATAGTCCATTTACGTCCTGCCGGCGATAGACACATCACGGGCGACAGTAGCATCCTTCCAGCTGCACCCCGCCGCCATACTGTCAGTCTGCCTTGCCCTGACAGCGGAGAGCCGCGAGTCTGCGCACTGAGGGACTTCCAGGGAGGGGCTGCTCGGCAGGAATGTCCCATGTGAGGAGCCAAACCAGCTCAGGGGCCAAAAGTCTGACCAAAACCCTATAATAAACCCAACAGTACAGTCGCTAGAGGGGTAAAAGGTGGTGACGATTCTAGGAGCCCTAAACTGAAGAGAACCCACATAAACCCATTGCAAATGGATTATTTTAAAACGTGAATTCAAAAACAATATTTCAGAGGGGCCTAGGATTGCTCTATGCAACAAGTCTCTTATTAGAGAAGATACTGTTGATAACAAAAATATTTATTATATCATAAAGAAATTTGCTTGTCAAAAGTCAGGCATTTGATAGACCGCTTGCTTAAATTTGCCGCCTTAAAAATCTGTTTTTACCACTTATATAATAAATAAAGATGGATAATTAATGTCAAATAAATCAAGGACTGTTTGGGCCTTTAATTTGGAGTGTGGGTTAGACAGTCAGCCTTTCAGTTTATATATATCTTCTCAAATTTGTAAAAATATTGAAAGCTTTCATATAATTCAATTACACAAGAGTGACATTTAAAATGATGTAACCCAGTCATATATTGGTTTTTGTGAGCACATTTGTTATTTGTGCATGTGTTTTGGACAGGAAAAGCTGTGGTCAGGTTTAAGTCTGTGAAAGTTCAACTGTAATATATTCTGTGTGTGTTGTAGCCAGGACTTTGATGAAAGATCCAGCTTTAATGTGGATCGTGTCACTCTGCTTAAGTTTAGTCAGGAATCGGTAGGCTGAGTGATATGATGGGAACATGTAAGGCATAGTTAAGGGCAAAATTAAAATTGAGCCATTAATTGGAGTACTCAGTCAGTCCTAAGCTCTGCGGACGTCCAAGTACAAAGCCACAGCGCCAAAACCACTTTAGTTAATGGAACATCCTTTTACAGCTTCAAGAAACATAAAATGTCAGTGAGATGGATTTCACCAAACTGCTGGGGCAGCATTAATCTAAGTTTCTGTTGCCAAACAATTTCCCACACTCTCCTTTATCTCAGATATTTTCCCCAATCGACAGTCCTCATTCTGGTTGCAGCCACAGTGAGGAAAACATACTAGATTATCAGAAAAAATGAATGACCTTTTGGCCGCAAAACACTTGAATAATGCTAAGTAAGGCTGGAGAGAACCTTGGCATGATGCTGTAGTGTCACTTCGGATAAGCAGATAACATGTGAGCTGGAGCTGAGGAAGGCCTGATGGCCCACATCCGTGCGGCCTGTCCTTGGCTGTCAGCACTGTAACAGCCTCAGGAGGACTCCAACACTTCCTGCTCTGTGACCTTTGACCTAAAGTGCTTATCGCTCGCTGGTTGAAAACATTTTTTGTGAAGAGCTTTGTTTTCCCCAACACTCACTAACAACCTGTCTCCCTCGTTTTTTCTCACACGGTTATCTGAGACTGAGTGAGCGGAGGACAGCGCTGCTCTTTGATAAACACGCTTTCTGACAACCAAAGCTATGTTTACACCAGGTTTACACCAGATAACATGCATCTCAAGCCGGTTTGTGAGCGCTATATTCGGGGAGTCACACTGAGGCCGCAGCTGTGGTTCAGATTCTTACAGTTGACCTTAACTGTATCTTAACCTTGAACCACACTTGACATGTTGCCAGAGAGACAGGCAGCGGGTGAGAAAGAAAGAAAGTGAAAGAGAGAGAGAGACAAGAGCAGCTCAGTCTCTCCCAGACTCTCCCCTCAGGACATGGATACACACATTAATGGAATATATTTTTGCTAGACAAACTTGAACTCTGCAATTGTCTATGTGCATAGTTATCACTAATGTCGCCTTTGGCCTAACCATGTTGTGCACTCAGTTGTTAACTGCTTCCTATTTTATCAAAGTGATGCTGCATGGAGATATTTATATTTCTGTGGCAAGTTATATTCTGCTACTGGAGCACAGAATAGAGATTCAATTTTGCATAAATGTACATTATGTTATTTATCTAATTTTGATGACGTTGTGAAGTAGCATGGCATCATGGGAGTTGTTGTCATCACCACCATTGCCGTTATTGCAGTCAGCTTCTCTCGGTTATGATTCCTTCAGTGTTCATGGTTCAGGAAGTTCCTACCAGGAGCCCAATTATTATTATTATAAACGGACCTGAGGACTAAAACTGGTAAAAACAAATCATGGAGGTTCTGGTAACATTAGCTGGACTTGTTTCTCTGATAACTTAAGATCCAGACATCCGATGACTAAAATCTATCATCAAATATAGATTTAAAAACCACCAAGATCTAAAACTGGATAAAAAGTCAATGTATGACAGCTTCTGGCAGATAACCACAACTCTGACACAGGCACAGAGAGGATATGATGCCATTGACAGGCGACTGGTGAAACACATCGTTACTTGCAGAAATGTTACATATCGTAGCTTTAAAGTCAAACACAGAGCAGTGGTGGAAAGTACAGTAAGTACCAAGTCCTAAACTTTGAGTTTCAAGTCCTGAACAAGTGAATGCACTCTTCACCAAATGTAATGCCATTTTGACAACCAAACGAACAAAACAGAATAATCTGTGGTATTATACGTAACATTTTTGCTTAAAAAATCAATGATATGATGAATCAATTATCAAAGTTGTTGCTGAATAATTTTCAAATGACTTCAAATGATTCATTGACTAATTGACCATCCAAGAGGGCCAATTCAGAAACCAGTTGCATCATCCGTGTGTACTCACATTGTTGTAATGACTTTTCAGCATGTACTGAAAGCATCACAGGCAGGAAGAAGTGTATGATAACCATGCAAGCACAGACTCACAGTGGACCTTTATTGGCGATATCAATGTGTGTTCAAACTATTTACGATTCACTATATAGTTGACAGATATTTTTTTCTATTTTGTCACCTTTTATTTCTAGGAATAAAGAAGAGGAAGAAAGCAGGCAAGGTTCCCGTCCCATCACACTGATTCTATGTTACTCTCAGATACAGCCCAATCAGAGCACAACGCCACTCTGTGCAGGATGTGACAACCATGTGACTTCCTGTAGACTAACCAACAGACAGGAAGTGGTTAGAAGGCCTCTCGCACATCACTGCTCTTCTTGGGGCTATTCCAGCAGTCGACTTCCCTTCAGCTCAGCTCAAGCATGGTACATAAAAACGCTTCATTAAGCAGGCAGTGCACCCATTAGTCTCACTCCCCAGAGCTCCGGCAGATGCTTACAGAGTCAGTGTATTAATTTGATACTGTCACTGACACTCATGGCTGGGCCAAGTGGCTGGACTGTGTTTTTTTTAGTATTATTTTTTTGGCCTTTATGCCTTTATTTGACAGTGATAGCTGGAGAGAG